TATGAAAGAATAAAAAATGGAATTCCCACACCAGATGCAAACATGGTGAAACTATTACTTGGCATTTTTCAATATTTTCATAATATTTCATGAAATCATAAGTCTCACAGGATGCAAAATACATGACATTGGCCTCTGGCCTCATCTTATACATGTTAAATACATTGTAAGGAGTGCACTCATGTACACACTACATATATGGAATCAAATATACACATTTTGACAAATAAGGTTACAAATGGTATTCCAAGCCAACCTTCACAAAGATGGAAACCTCCAAGTCCACAAACCATCCAAGCATAATGAGAGTCTCAACTTTAATTCCTATACCTGAAAAATGTCCGCACAACGTGGGTGAGTAACATAAAGCTATTCGTAGGAGATGAGCATGCATTGATCTAACTTTTTACAATTTTATCACCTTAAGGTGAAACATATTAAAGGGGCTCATGCCACCTAACGTCTATGTCAAAATGTGACCTAGGGAGCATCCTAAGCTACCTAAGATCATTTCTAGCACAAATCACATCATTCATGCAATTCAGGTAACATGGGAGCATGCTATACAAAGCAACAAGATGTAAATTCTCAAAGTCACTAACTTGAAATCTGAAATGCTAAAACAATTATAGTGGATCATGCCACCTAAAGTCTATATTCCAAATGAATCTATAGGATCATTCCAAAGTCACATTTGAACAACAAAGCACAAATCACAATATCTACACAATTAACCAACATAAAAGCATGCTACACAAGTATCAAGATATAGATTCTCAAGGTTACTATCTTGAAATCTAAAATGCAATAACAACTAAATATAACAATTTAGTACAATTAGAATTTCAAATACCATACTTCAAGACATAGATTCTTTAAGTTATCAACTTGAAATCTAAAAGTGTGAAAACAACTAAATATAACAATTTAGTATGGATGTACTTAACAACATCAATCACCAATAGCCAAAACCACAAGTCACAACTAAATATGATTGTCAACTTGGAATTGAATGCGAAATTAAATAGTGGAAGACTTAGACATCACGTCTCGGATTTCTGCCGAGAACTAAATGGTTATTCCTGGCATTAACCCGCTGGGAAGACCACCCTAGTGCGCACTATCTCAATTGGGGAGAATTCATACCTCCCACATTAGAGCCAAACTCTAGCCATGTCACTTGTAACAATGTCCCAAGACTCCAAAATAATCAAATAAGTTCACAACTTATATGTAATTTATATAATGCATGAAAACCACCTTCCATGCACAAGTAGGTTGAAACCACATAATCCATGCCTTAGAGTTTCAATTCTAAAATGGCATATATAATGTCAATTACAAAATGTACAATTCATTACACATGGCATCAATATATTCCATAAAAAAAACATGTTCTCATGAATATAAATATAACAACAAATTTGTCCAATGCTCAAAACACAACAAAGTGAATACATAACAAGTTCAAGTCCATGATTTGAATATAGAAACAACTTCTAAATTACCAATAGATTCATGGAGCCATTAGATAGAATTTCATTAAACAAGATAATCAAATTCGAATAACTTCAAATTAATATATGTTAAACAACATAGCATGCTCATTACATATATCAAATCAAAAGTGTCAAATGAGCAAGATAGCATCATATAGAATTTGATTAATGTAAATTAATTAAATCTCCAGATTTCAAAAGTTATTCAAATGATCCCTAATTAATATATATCAAGCACCAAATCATGGTCATACCATATCTCAAGTCTAAAATGGAATACAAGTAAAATACAATTTACTAGAATTTAAATCAAATTAAATCCATTTAATCTCTAGATTTGAAAATTCATCTAAATCATCCCAAATTAATATATATCAAAGATCAACTCATGGCTATGCCATTTACCAAGTCTAAAATGAGTTATATGCAAGATATGATAAATCACTAATTTCTCAATTTAACAAAAGACATGCATACAACTTATAAAAGCATCAATAACATGCAAGAAACAAAAATATAACCCTATAACATCCCCTACCTCACTAGAGAAGAGTCTTTCTAGAATCCAAGGCAAATCAATACAAAATGGCAAACCCTTCTAGGGTTATGTAGAGGAGGATGAGGGGAACAAAAAGTGTTCCAAGCTTCAAGGTCTAAGGTGAGTGGAAGGCCATCAAAAATCAAGGGCAAGGCCTAAGGTTTCAAGCTCTATCCATGGAGGCTAGGGTTTTCTTTACAAGAGATGAAGGAGATAGAAATTAAGTGTGAAAGAATGTGAGTGGAGGAAATAGAAATCCTCCACTTATTATGCGGTCTTACACCAAGGTCAACACACATAAGTTTTAGTTAATTGCACAAAAACCCCTCTTAATAACATAATTCCAAAGTGACCCAAAAATTAATTGCAAGACTTAATTTGGAGCATACACTTGTCACTCATCCAAGGCTCCATCCTAGGCTTAATCTTAGGCCTACACTTGTCAACCATCCAAGCCAACAAGTGCACCAATCCTAAGCCAACAAGTGGTTGAATCTCCACCCTCCACATGTCATCATCTAAGGCATCAAAGTATTTCCACACAAATGTCAACAAGTGGACCAATGAGACTGTGACACTTGTCACACTTTTCAAAAATTGTAAAAGGTCCTTTTTGAAAATATCTTCCAAATTAAATTGCAAAATGGTTCCTAAGACGAAAAAAAATTACTTTACAGTATTTACACAAATGACCCCAAAAGAAAGAGAAATTACAAAGAAGTGTGCATCCACACCCCTAAGGAAGAAAGACCACAACTAGCATGCTTTTCTACAAAAGTAAAAATACACATAGCATGGAATTTAAATATCGTGGATGCATGCAAAACCGGAATCAAATCCGAACACGAAAAATGAGGTTATTCCAACAACGTGACAACCGAAAAAAAGACGAAAAGTGAATAGTGTCACAAAAGTGAAAACGTGAAAATGACTCGGTCCTCAAAGGAAGTCGTCAAACCAAAGGAAAGAGTATCAGAAACCATTCCCGAGCACTTAATATGACACTAAGTGATGAGAGGCCGAACCCAAAAAAGAAAGATCAACGAAAAAAAAAATATCCGTAAAAATCAGAGGAAAGGAAAGGAAGGAAAATGACCGGGTCATTACAGTTCAAGCGAAGTCGGGAATAAAACAGCTCACTGCCAACAAGGGTGGCGATCGATCGCCAACTTCTGCGATGGATCGCCAACTTTGGCAATCAACAACTGGCAACCTTATCCTCTTAGTTGGCGCTGATGTGGCACTGCAAACGATCGCAGATTGGCTACAATCGATCGTGGAATTGACGAACGATGAGCTGGCAGTCTTATCCCTTTGATGACGTAGCTGCGATGGATCGCGTGGCCTGCAATCGATAGTGGGTGACTCTGCGATCGATCGTTGATGCTCTAGGGAAATTTTTCTGACTTTTTAAGATTTTCTTCTTGACTCTAAAAATGGCTTAGTAGGCTATTTTTAGCCCATTTGAACCTTATTGACCTGAAATAAATAAAAACAAGAATTAGAACTAAAATGAGAAAGTAAGTTAGATGAATGGACTAAAATACCCTAATTTAGGTGCTAAAATGTGCAACATTTGAGTACTTATCACACATATTAGCAACAATTCTTATCAATAATCGTAAGTATAAAGAAGGGAACCCCCTCATCTCTGTCCCATTCACATTTGCGCCGTTACAACTATTTCGAACTAGACTTCCATAACCAAAATCGGCGGTAGACAAGGCAAAGGAAGGGATGAGTAAGGCGGCAAAGAAATTATAAAGTAAAGAGATCATGACATTTGGTCCTCCGACGATAGAGGAAACGTAGGGGTGGCGAAGACGCTACCAGAAGATCAAAGAGATTGTGGTCCATTGATGATTATGTGGAAGATCCTATGAGGAGGGCTTGTTATGGCCTTTGTACCTAGATTACCTACAAAAACTAATATTTTTTGCCATCATCCATTTTCTCTCTTTAGCTCTCTCTCACAACTCGATCTCAGACTTTATCATTATGATGGAAGAGGAAATTTTGGGTCTGCTATTTTAGCACCATTATTGAGAATTTCATTATGAGAAGCAGTGCATACTGTCAATCTTCAGGGGTGCGTATTGTCAATTTGGGGCTTAGGTTCAAACTTTCGATTTAGGGCTTGGGCTCCAACTATTGATTTAAGCTCATTGTGATAGTACTGTGAATGTCGATTTGTAGGGATATGTACTATCAATTTAGGGCTTGTTCTTTTTCAATGGAGCAATATGGTCTAGGTGTGTATCTACTACATATGTGTGTATATATGATGTAGAGGATAAAGATAGATACTTTATAGAGAGAAGAGAGAGAGAGAAAGATGGGTGAAGAGGATAGGGATAGAGATAGCGATAGAGAATAGGGATCTAAGATGATAAGGATAGAGATAAAAAAAATTAAAAAAGAAATGGAGAAGAAATAACAATGTACAATACAATATCATCTACTCAACAATTTAAATTATGCCTCAATGGTAAACTCCCACGTGGGTCCTCCCGGCCAGAAAAACAGAAAAGTGCCGAAATAAAAACCATTGCATTTCCAAGAGTCCTAAAAGCAACTGATTTTAGGATTTAGGAATTTTGGAATTGAATTTAGCAAAAATCCATATGTAGGTCACGTTTGGCCTTTAAGGATCATAAAGGGGTAGTATGACCTTTTTGTATCATAAGGGTTGAATGATCGTTTAATTTTAATATGACAATCGTGAGACAGGATCGCATGACTTAGCAGTTAAAAAACAACTGCCGGTGACCGTACTGATTAAATTGCCACCAAATCGCTAAGTTGAAGGGGTTAAAATACATCCTTGGTACTTCAAGAGGGCCATTTGCTCATAGGGTCATAGTCGGGGGTTTACTACCCTATTGTATATTCTATTGTATCATATTAAATCTCCTCCGATATGTTATCGAAAAGTGGCCAATGGTCACTGGCTGGAAGACTTTGTGACACTCGGTCAACCAAAACAAAACTCTCCCTTCCCCCCTCCCAATCTTCTTAAGTGCACATGCCAGTCCCCTTCCTCGAAGTCACTAGCTAAAACCTTGAAGGAAGAGGTGCACGCACTTAATCAAGGTTCCCCACACACACACACACTCTATCTACTGTTTATTCCTCCCTCTCTATATATCAATCTCTGAGGTCTCCGGAATCCATGGATACAAAGGTCATCTCAACTGGAATCCGCTACTCAAGCCTTCCGGAAAGTTATATCCGGCCGGAATCAGAAAGACCAAAACTTTCAGAAGTGTCCGACTGTGAAAACGTTCCGATTATAGACTTGGGTTGCGGTGACAGGGACCTAATAGTACAACAAATAGGCGATGCCTGTCAGCAATATGGCTTTTTTCAGGTTTTTAGTTTGATTCCATTTCCATTTCAATCATATAAACTAATCAATATATATCTCATGGTCTTTAATATTATATATTAGTTAGAACTAGAGTCCTATATATATATTAGTGGAATTTTAATTGCTTTATATATATATGTGTGTGTGTGATGTTGTGAATTAATTTGTGTATATACTAGGTGATAAATCATGGAGTGTCCAAGGAATCGATAAAGAAAATGCAAAGTGTGGCTAATGAGTTCTTCTGTTTACCAGTAGAAGAGAAGATGAAATTGTACTCTGAAGACCCATCAAAGACCGTGAGACTCTCCACTAGCTTTAATGTGAAGAAGGAAAAGGTTCACAATTGGAGAGACTTTCTCAGACTCCACTGCTACCCATTGGACAAGTACATGCCCGAGTGGCCCTCAAATCCCTCTTCTTTCAAGTAACTCTCTCTCTCTCTCTCTCTCTCGCTCTCTCTCTCTCTCTTTCCTATTTCTTCTAGTTGAGTTCTTTGTTTTGTTATGTCTATAGACATCAAATTTCAAAATGGTAATAAATTATCATAGGCAACGCACTATAACTCAATTATTGGCATCTCACATCTTTTAAAAACATGTTAACTTGTTTCATACTTGTTACTTAATTTGGTAAAAAAATTTCTCTGATTTAATTTAAACATGGATAAATCTTTTTTACGAAGAATATTTTACCCTTTTATGAGGGTATCTAAAAATTTTTGTGTCACCTTTATACCTAATAGTTCCTACGCGCCATGAAAAACTTTTTATGTTACCATAAAATGCACGTAAAATGCATTCTTCTTTGTGCAGAGAAAATAAATAAATAAATAAATATATATATATATATATATATATATATATATATATTATAAGAGAAAAGGCTACAGTCGGACTATTTTTAGACTTTTTGGTAAATACTTACACACCATGAAAACTTTTTACGTGTGTTTGGCCTGTTAAAAAATCTTGTAATAGAGAAGGTTACTGTCACATTTAAGGAACTATTTTTGGGCTTTTTGGTATATTTATACACCTTGAATAACTTTTTAAGTCGTGTGGTGTTTGGCTACTCTAAAAGGGCTTTTTCCTTGTAGTGACAAAAACAATCTTATTATAGATTACGTTCACATTTAACGGATCACTTTTAGGGCTTTGTGATACATTTACACAAATACTTTTTAAAAAAATAATAATAATAAATGTGCAGGGAATCCACAAATCTAATTTGTTTATCAACTTAATTAAGAAGTTTAAAAAATATATATACAAAAACTGTCATAGACTCTTACTATCTCCTCAATAAAGATACTTATGTTAAGAGGAGGGAGTAATATATTACTAATAAAATAATAATAAACAAAGTTGTCGTACTTTACCTAAAAAGATAAAAAAAAAAAAAAATTAATACTCGTCGTGGTTCCACGTGCTGCCGACTAGGTAGTATAATATTTAAGTTTCGGCGCCGTTGATTATTGGGTAATGACGTCATGCAAAGCCTACGTGGCTGACATCATACCCATTGACATTTTTGTACATCTAACTACCTTTTTTATTTAAAGTATCACTTTTTCCGCGACATCATTCAATGAATACGTGTTGACGTAAGCGAATTGAATTATATGATCATTGTTTTATATGATCCATGATTGCCTCCTCATAATATCTGATTTTTTTTTTTTTTTTTTCCTTCATGATAGCTGATTCAGCATCTTTTAAAATATTTTAATTTTAATTTATTTTATTTTTGGTCAACAGTATAAATGACTCAAAAATAAAACGTGCCATCAACAATATTAAGACCCGTTTGACCATCACTTTCGCTCCATATATTTTTATTTATTTTTTGGTTTCAAAATTTCAAATAGTACTGCAGTGAATTAAAATACCAAAACGTGTTTAATAACATTTATTACCATTTAAATAGTATTAAATAATTTTTTAAAACATAGGTCAAAATCAAAAATTGGTGCTTCCGATTCTGACCTGGTGCTTTTGATTGCCTCCTCCTTGTACCAAAAGTTGTCTAATTTTTCGTGAATGTATTAGGTGAAAAAGAAGGTATCTTTTATTTAAGTATTATATTACTTTTTTATCAATATTCCATTTTTCTAAGGTAAAAAAGTTTAAACTGTTTATATAAGTTTTGCTATAAATAATAAAGTTTCAATAATAAGTTAATCATTTTAAAAAATATAAGTTACAATTTTTTTTTTTTTTCTATTTTTATGATAAATTGATACTAATAATAAAAATATGATAGTAAGTATAATTTTTTTTTTTTCTTAGGTGTTACTCACACACCCATATATGCCTTAAGTGAAACTTGAACCCCGACATTCTTTTGAAAATTAGGGGTTTAATATCCGTGGGCTACTTGCCCATTACTAGGTAAATACTATAATTGATATTTAGATAAGAGAAAAAATAATAAAAATAATTTAATAAGAATTGACAAATTTTAAAGAGATGGTAAAATAATCTTTTGTGATGAATTTGTTCTTAATTATAACAAATTAATAGTTAGAGGGAGGAACAATTATAAAAAGGCAACAGTTAAATGGTTTTTTTTTTTTTTAAGAAACATATTTTTATGTTTTTGCTTTTAAAAATATTACAATCAATATAAAATTACTAAACATACTTTCAAATAATATTAAATACACTCTAAAATATAAACGTTGTTACTATTTTAAGTCAAAACAAAATACAAACAAAGGGAGATTGCTAAACATACTCTAAATTTGTGAACTCTATTATAAAACTCGCAAAATTTATTGTTTAAAGGTTGTACTGCACTTGCAATTAAAGCCTGGTCACCTTCAAGGAATAGCATCTCATCTTTTTATTAGATGTGACAAAATACTATTTGTTGTTACTTATCAAAAACAGAGAGATGATGGAGTCCCTAGTGTGCATCTCTATAGATGTCACTTTATAATTAGAGTATTACTCCAAAATTTACATATTTAATTAGGATATTACTCCAAAAATTTATACGTACAATTTTCCATTGCACAAACTTTTGGTATTTATATTCTTACAAAATATCACATTCTCACAATCATCACAATTACAATCATTATTGTAACGGACAATTCTAGAATACTTTTAGGTACCATACTCTGGTCCTCCTATCGTTGGATGTGATGGTAAAACTTACCTAATGGATATCCAACGAAAAATTGTAAGACTTTACGTAAGTAACAATAAAACTACTTTAAACTACCCATGCCTAATGTTAATGTTCATACATTGGGATACTGTGAATTAGGAAATACAAAACCAAAAAAAAAAATTAAAATAAAGTTCATTTTGTTTTTTCATTGGTAAATTCATTATTGGAATAAAAGTTACTAAACTCTCAGTTCCAAGACAAATTGAGCATCCGTATGTTATAATCTAATGATAAATTCTTCCACATTAATAGGGATATTGTGAGGAATTACTGTACAGAAGTTCGGGAGCTTGGGTTCAGGCTGCAGGAAGCCATATCAGAGAGTTTAGGGTTGGATAAAGACTACATAAAGAATGTGTTGGGTGAACAAGGACAACATATGGCTGTTAACTACTATCCTCCATGTCCAGAACCCGAGCTGACTTATGGATTGCCAGGGCACACTGACCCCAATGCCCTCACCATTCTTCTTCAGGACCTACAAGTTGCAGGCCTTCAGGTTCTTAAGGATGGCAAGTGGGTAGCTGTTAATCCTCACCCAGATGCTTTTGTCATTAACATCGGTGATCAATTACAGGTAACTTAGCTTTTATGGTAAAAACAAAAATTTTAATTGACGATCGTTATAGAAGAGAATTTTATTATGTCACACTATAGATTAAATACATTTCACATATAGGGTAACATGAACAAAGTCCTTTCAATATGCTTTCCTTTATGTCATGCTTAATTGCTTATGCCTCTCGAACTTGTGATTGAAAATGGTTTGAATAATTGTTTAAACTTACGATTTAAACAATTGTACATATTCACTAACAATAAAATAATTTAAACTTCCAAAAAACAATCTTTTGATGAAAATGGTTTTGTTTATGACATTTTTAATTAAACGCTCATGTGGTTAAGAAAGCAGTCCTGTAATAGACACATATAACTAATATTTCATGGCCTTTTATGCTAATCGACAAGGGCCATGAATAGAGATATGTGAATACACATCTTTGATTTAGACTTGGTAAATTTGCATCTTTGGAATGTTTTCCAGAAGCTAATTATTACCCTATAAAGAAAAATTATAGTTGTTTCATTTTAATAGGAATGTGCTTGATTTTCGACAAAAAAGCATGCTGCTAACCCGCATAATATAGTTGATAACTTGTTTATTTTGTGAAGTTGATCAAAATGAATAATGAGTGACTGCAGGCACTGAGTAATGGGAGGTACAAAAGTGTTTGGCACCGAGCCATTGTTAATGCCGATCAACCAAGGTTATCGGTGGCTTCTTTCCTTTGCCCCTTCGATGATGCACTAATCTGCCCTCCAGAGGCACTGACAGAGGATGGAACTGGAGCCTTATACCGGAGTTTTACGTATACAGAGTATTACAAGAAGTTTTGGAGCAGGAATCTAGACCAGGAGCATTGTTTGGAACTTTTCAAGAACTAATTGTCCTTCCGCCTTTTGCTTTGCACCAGTCCTTGAACTCTTTACCTTGATAGTGCCATTAAGAGTTTCAACTCAAGTCCCAAGCACCAAAATTGTTAGGGTGTGGGAGGAACTAATAATACTAAAGAGTGGTTTCCCTACAATTATTTTTCAACTGTAGTTTCAATTGCTTCGTTCCAAATGACGGTGGTATGCAAAGATGATCGTCATCATCATCATCCTTATCTTAATCTCGTACAAATGGAATCTGGAAAGATGCTGATATGTTTTCCGAAGACTTCAAAAATTGCAATTCCTAAAATGTTCTTAAATTTTAATTTTAATTTTAAGTTATGTGGTAGTATGAGTGGCATGTTAGTTGCTCAAACTATTAAGGTGAGTAGGAAGGTGATCCGAATTTTATTATTTGGATTTCGGAACTTTAATATTTATTTTTTGTTTTATGTCCAACTGATTCAGAAAAGTGTTGTTGTCGTATGTTGGATACGAACCTACTTCTATTGTTTAGTTTATTGCTTCATATTGCATTTCAATGACGTGTTACTATATAGTTTTTGCGTAAGATAAAAAAAATTTGTCACATGTGAAACCTCGAATTTTCACGTGTAGGTTGGCTAGGCCCACACCTGAAGACCCAAAAATATTAAAACAATTTGACAATAAACGAATATAGAACACAAAATGAATAAAAGAATAAAAAAATAATTAATTCGCTGAAAGGATTCTATTAAATAAATAAATATTTTCCTCACAGATAAACTCTATAATCTCAAACTTCTAAAATACAACTTGGAAATCCTGTAAGTCAAGGACTCCTAAACCATAAACTGACTCCTAAACCATAAACTACTAATCCACTAGTTCATATACATTTATTAATAAATGTCAACACTACTTAGAAGTAGATAAGATGAGTAGACGAAAAACAAGTCTCCAAGCTGCGGATCCTCAACCTCGAAACTGGAACTTCTAATAATCTGAAAAATAAAGTGTGGGTTAGACCCACAAGCAAGTTCTTTCTACCAAACCTCTGATTGGGAATGAGTGCTAACGAATTGCACAGTTGATTGCATACCACTAATGGCAGCCATTATCTACTTATTGGAGTTTACTAGCTCATCCAATTGGGACTGTTAAGAAGGAGTATAATTTTGATTAGAAGAGCTTGCATTATAGGAAGGAGGACAGTAGCTTGAAGAAACTTGAAATAGCCAGTTCATGGACTGAAAATTAGACTGAGTTGATTGCCCATAACCTTGAAATGATGAATTTTGTGGGGCTTGTTGCCTCCACGAGAAATTTGGATAATCTCTCTAACTCGGATTGTATGTATTGGAATAAGGATTATTTCCAGGGTGAGAAAACATGGCATTGGCCTGTTCTGGCATACCTTCAAAAAATTGCTCCGGTGTGGGGCAATCTTCTGCATTATGAAAAATGCTTATGCAATGTGCACACATAGCACTGGATAAAGAATTCTGAGAAGATGAGAGAAATGGTGCCACAAGCTGAAAAACTTTGTGGGTTATAGCATCCACTTGAGAAGATTCTTCCCTAAGAGTCGGTGGTTGGCACAAATTTGAGGGTTTCACCACATTAGAAGTAGAAGCTCTACGAGAACTATGTGGCATAGAATTTTCGCTTATGTTCTCAAGTAGAGTCTATGCATCATTTGGATTTTTGGACATGAACATGTCCCCACACGAAGAATCAATTAATTGTCTATGTGGTTCTGTTAAACCATCATAGGAGGCTTGCACAATTGCCACTTTGGAATTTGGTGGTGCGGACACTTCCTCAGAAAATCTTAAAGTCTTTCCCATGTCTCATAGAATATTTCCTCATCAATTTGGGAAAAACTAAGAATAGATCGACGCATTTGGTTGGTCTTACTCACAGGATAGTATTTTTAAAAAAATTCTTGTTGTAATTGGACCCACGAAGTAATGGAATTTGCAACAAGATAGCTCAACTAATATTTTGCTCTATCTTTCAAAGAGAATGGAAAGAGAAGCATATGAAGTGCATCTTGGGGGAAGTCCCTCATCTTGATGGTGGAGTAGATTTTCAAAAACTCAACAAGATGTTTATAAAGGTCCTCATTATCAAACCTATGATAGATTGGAAGCATTTGGTTGTGGTAGATTTGATCTCATAATGATGAGCCTCAACATTGGGCATGACAATGCATGATGAAGATGTACATGTAGAGGGTACAAAGTGATCTCTAAGAGTCATTGGGGCTACATTTTCATTTTCAGCATTAACATTTTCGAGATTATCATGTTCATTAACCATATTGTCTACTTTAATTTCAAGTTCTCTTATACTTTTGGGATCCCTAAAGTTCCTTCTTTATTGCCTAAAAGTCCTTTCAAGTAAAGCAATATCAATTGATTCCTCAAGATGTGATAGAGACGATGATCTACGACCTACCATCAACTATCAAATACAACAATCACAACAACCCTTCACCAATACATCCACATACATTGATCCATTTCTCCTCAATTCAACAATAATGAAAATAGATTAAATTGGCCACAACAAGGACCTATGCTCTGAATAAAACAGAAAATTGCAATAGCCTCGACAAGGGCCAAACAACGAATAAACTAGAAACTTCAAAAACTTACCCAAAGTCCTTAAAATTTCAAATTTACAATTAAATCATCTGGAAAGTCTTTAGTCCCTAGTAACACAAAAACATCAAAAACATAAAAATATATGTACAATTAAACATAAAGCAATTTTTAAACTTTGATTACAAAACAGTATGCAATCCCAGGCAATGACGCCAAAAGTTGATGGGTATAATTTGTTACCACTTAAAATTACCACTTGCAATAGCACGTATATCAATGTAGAAAAAGGCTATTATAAGGGTTTGTCGAACCACAAGGAATGCTAGCTTATGGCAATCAAGATTGTAAGATTAATTCCCGGTTTGATTTGTGAAAGGTAGTTTTTGGATTGTTTTGTTTTTCACATACATAAACTGAAATTAACTAAAAACAGAATTTGAATGAAATAAACTTATAAAGATAAAGGCTAGGGAATTGACTTCACCAAAACCTCATAAACATGCTCACTTGCATTCAACTTGGGGATAAACAACTATGTATATAAAATGATGTATAAAAGTATAAAACAACCACAACATCTTCCAGAAATTCATACATTTCAGAACTAAGCACAACCCATCTGTGGTTGGAATTGTTCATCCACCTAAATTAATTCGTGGAATGAACCATCTTCCCTAGGCATGGCCTATCAAGGTCCTTCAATTGTATGTTGCAGCACATGAAAACAATTATCTATCATAAATTATCTTCAATTGGTATGGACCATCTAACTAAGTACATTAATCTAAAGGTGTAGTATGGTCCATCTTCCTTAAGTATAATCTATATAAATTCTCAACTACATGCAAATATAACCATTTTATAAATTCATTCACATTGTCACTATAGGAAATCAAGTGTATAATTGTGTCAATATAATTTCTAAGACAAGATAAACATATCAACATAACTATATATTCAAATGAAATTCACATACATTAATTCAATATAAAAACACATTAATTCAATGTAAACAATTTCTAATTTATGAAATCAATGAATACAAGATGAATCCCCAAATTGAAATAGCAATTACAACATATTTATTTGGTCTAGGTTACATCAATTCCCTAGGAAGGGAGTTAGTTCCTCATGGACATGATAGCAACTTCAAGGATTGCAAAAGAGAAAGATTTCCCTTGCAACCCCATTGTTGCAAACCTCAGCATCAAACCCTGAGGAAAATCCTCCCCTCTTAATATTTTTTTAGAATAAAAAACTAACTAATAAAATTCAAGCCTCTTCCCCCTCTTAATCCCAAAATGAGTTTTAAAATAACCCAACTCGTCAAAATTCAAATTCCCACTTAAAATGGAACAAACTTTGACTAATTCAAAATGGGGGCCCGTAAGCTTGTGTCTGGACGCGAGTTTCTGCATCCGGACACAAGGTCCTGATACTTGGGCTTCTTTTTCTCTTCTGCAGTGCTAACTATATCCATTACATATTTGGGACATATCTTCTTGAAAACCACTTGATATTTAGGCCCAATATGACTTGTTCTTCAAAAATCTTTAAAACCTTATTTTTATTTCCTTTTAGCAATTAAACCTACAAAAACACAAAAACACAAAAATGAAGATAATCTATATACAAAGATCAAATAATGGGCTTAACTAATGAATTTAAGGGCGCTTGAATATGCATTATTCGGCACTTATCATCATCCATGCTTAGTATATCAATTGATGGCACACACACTTGTTTTACAACATTTAATCCCTCTAAATTAACAAATACTAGATGTTTAGTGAGGTGAAGCTTAGTGGTGAATTCTAGACCCCAAGACCTCTCTCTCATTCTCTACACCTCATTTACTTTAGCTTATTTTACATTGCATTACTTTTAATTAAATTGTAGTATAATTCAACCAACAAACCACTCACTTTGATTATTCGACCTACTAATCCAACTTTGATTCCGTAATGCCTTACAAATCTCTTAGGATGATCCCTTTTCACTCATACTACATAGTATAGTATTAAGTGGTTTTTATAAATTTTAAATGTGGTGGCCACTTCACACACTCGCACTTTTTACATCATTTTAGCACTCGGTCGAGACTAGCACCAACGAACTTTGTATTATGGTCAACCATTCAACCTTGGGATTTCAACAATTTATATACCATATGAATTAAACTCAATAATATTCATTTAATTCGGTTTTGAAGAAGGATGTTTTGTGAATTTTAACTAATTATAACCTATCTTTGGTTAACACGAACTATCCACCTACCTAGTTCTAACTAATTCTGTAGTATAATTCATATTTCCGAAGTATAGCCTATGAAAATATTCATTTATAAAAATGTTGGAGCACCATTACATGATCTTTATTCTTAACGTCGATAAGCCCTTATACCGCCATCTCATACATTAAGAATAGGTTGAGAATAATTAAAGAATAATTAAATCTAAGACAAGGTATTAATTATTCAAAAACTATTATTTCATAAAACTCCAACTGATAGTACTCAATCGCTCATAATCATGCAATCAAAATTCATAAATTATTAAATTTCCAAAGTTAGAACAGTTACACCATAATACTCAAATCGGGTTACATCAATGCCCTAAGAGATGAATTAGATACTCATGATGACACAAGATATCATATGTGCTGTTGTGGTCTTCATTATCATGGGCTGCTCTTCTTTTATTTGGATCTTCACTTTTTCTAACTACAGAAACCCTAAAAGCCACCACTAAAACAAGAGAGAACTGAAAGAGAATAGAGAGATATTTTCTGTGGCCTTGTGCCTCCTTTTATAGAAGAATTTATAAAAGAAATAACTTCTAATAAGGGTTAGATGGGCTTTTAGGTCGTTTGGGGTCTTCTGGTCTCGTCTAGGATGAAATATGACATAATTAGAACAAATCCCATAACTTAAAGTTCTGACTTATCAT